GGGCGTCGCAGCCTAATCAGCCTGCTTGATATATCCTTTTGTTCGCTTTCTTTTTTTTTTTTGTTTTCCTTCCCTTTGGGTTTTCTCCGCTACGGTTGTCCTTCCTTCGTCCTTTTCTTTCCCCGCCCACCATTGGCGTCCAGTTCTCTTATTCATTACAATCGTGGCCACATTTTTGTTCATATATAGATGTCGCACACAAAGAAAAAGAAGAGGGGAGTGCAACATGGCGATGTGGCATGTCATTGATATAGCCATATACCATGTACAGTATCATGCGGACAAGTGCGATTTCATCGAGATAGATACCGAGAAAGTGATAAAAACGAAAAAAGTGATATTTATGACTTTATTTATTTTCGTTTGAAATCTCTATTGATTTCTTTCTTAATGTTATTTTCTTGTATGCCACTCCTTTCAATGCTCCCTTTCAGAGCTTGGCAGGAAAACTGGAAGCGAGTGGCATTGAAGGGAATAACTTTAAGAAAGAGAGGCCTGTTTAGTGCTTATTGTTAAAATCTTGATTACACGATGTGACCATAGTCACACTTTGACCATAGTTATGAGACCATTCGGACGTGTTTCTTTCGAGGGATACGCCATCTCGATTATATTTTTGAAAAGCGCTACCGACTTTGATCATGCATACATTACTCATCGTCCCTTTATTCGGCTTGACGCGTGATTGACACGTGCGGCCTTCTTTGAAGGGGCGTCTCACTATTTTCATTCTGATTACATCACCTTTTTCTACTCGCCCGGTTCGGAGGTAGCCGGTGCATTGCATTTCAATTTACGATTTGTTCAATTCCGAAGATCAGTGGCCACGTATCAGCCAATTAGGCTGCGAGGCCAATTAAAAGAAGAAGGAGATCCCATGACCATTTGGAAGGCTGCGGCCAAGGTCACGATTACGTAACTGTCGGTAGGCACGTAAAATAATTACGGAATCTCGCCCCTGTGTTCTAAAGTCTCTTAGGGTGCGTTACGCATGAAGCGCATAATGTACATATCATTTGTCCTTGTTGTTTACCAAATAATAAAGAAGGATAAAACGATATATTATGCACTTGATGCGTAACTCGGAGAGAGAGAGAGAGAGAGAGAGAAAGAGAGAGAACCCTAACTTTAACGCTTAATAATTTGATTTATGAACCAATTGCCGCGTTTTTTGTCAGATTCTTTCGCTTTGAATAAAAACGCTCGAATGAGTATATTTTTATTCAGATTTTAAGTGAAGAGGGAGGAGGGATATTCTAAATAATTACCATTATTACTATTAACCTTAGCTGTATACACTTGTTTTTTACGCCTTTGATATACTGGGAGCCCATCCATATTTGTTATTGTGTAACTTTTGTAAAAATGGGTATTTCAATTAATTTTTTTTTAATTGATGGAGAATTGATTAAGAAACAAGCCCATTATAAATCTCGATTTAGAAAATTGCACTATGGTCCTGGGGACCTCAATGTGTACAACTAGGGTTAGATAGGGATTGCACAATCGAAATAATTGTTTACATTCTTTTTTTGAATAACTTTTAATAAATCTTATTGTTAGATTTTTTTATGTCTTGCCAAAAGACTTTTATAATTTTTGATCTCTGTTCTCTGATCTCAAATCGACATGTGCACTGTGTTGAATTTTTTCTATATAATCTATTAATTTAATTTAATTCGGAAAGGAGCATAAAAATTCTATGCAGTTTATAGCAAAATTATAATTTATCAAGATAGTGCAGTGACATAAATATTTCGACTTCTTATGTAATATATTTTACTTGCTTTTATGATGATTCTCTAATTATTCAATTTCAATTATTATAATTCTTAAATAATAAATTTGTATTCTTTTTTTATCAGATAATAAATCAGATAAAAAACCAGATCTCAGTCTTTTAGATAGGCAGCAATAATTGATTTATTAATGTGCGATTATAACAGTTCAAGCTGATTTTTCTTGATTATCCTCCAGTTTGCATTGATTTGCTAATAATTATTGAATTTTGCAGGTGTGTAACTGGTTTATAAATGCTAGGCGACGCATTCTTCCTGGAATTTTGAAAGAGGCTGGTGAAGATCCAAACCTTTACACAATATCACGTCGTACTCGTCGCGTAAACTCTAGCAGTCCCTTTCGGCATGGTCGAAGAACTCCTCTCGAACCGATTGAAGACGACACACCAGCACAATGTAACGTAAATTTTCCGCAACGTGGATTGGAAGAGCCCACATATCGGTAAGTATCTCTTTCTGTATTTCTCAACTATTATCCTCTCGACAATTAATAACGAAGAATTCCATCGACTCAACAACGCCGACCTACTTATACGAAAAAGCTCGATAAGAGATTTGCTTATCAACTAATTTGCTTATCATCTAATTTGCTAATCTGCTAATGTGCTAACAATGGCGAAGTTTCCCTTTTTTGGAGAATTAAGAAAATAAAGAAGGAGAATAGATTAGATGTGTGAAAATATTAGATGTATCATTCAAGATTTGCGTACGCAGAAGCGAGGATTGTCCGAACGATTACGAGAGCAGTTTGAACGACTACCACAGCGAGGAGGAGCATCCTTTGATACGATGGCCCAACGTAATCGTTCGTCCTTACGCTGAGGCTCAAGTCGAGCAATTAGACGGCGACGCTATTTCTCATCCGTATGCTCGACGAAGGCAAGTTTTTAATTGGTACAACAGTTGCGTCTAGTATAAAAAAAATAAGCGGGAGCTTTGCAACTGTTGTAAATTTGCTAAAATGCCTTCTACCAGTTTTTTTTTTTGAGCTTTCAACATATTTGCTAAGCGCGATCGCCATTTTCTCTGACATAATAAAATAAATAAATAATTGAGAAAGATAAATAGGCAATAAAAAAAATAAATAAGGAAAAAGAGTCGTATATATGAAAGTCGAGCGTTTTCAAGTAACACGCATTTTTCGGTGGTTGAGAATATTCGCTGATTCTCGCGTGCATCTAACTATACCCTGGCGTTGGAAAAAATGATATACATAGACGTCAAATTTTAAGAAGAATAAATTAAGGACAGTGTTTTTTTTTTGTAGGCCTAATCCTTCATCCAATATGGACAATTCTGAGAGTTCTACCCAAGAAGAGCCTGCTGCATACTGGAGCGCACCGCGTGAACATCTAGTATCGCCCGTCGTTCAACAGCACATCGCATATCGTGGCCTGTCGACGCGAAGTCTTGAAAACGCTTATTTTCACGAACACAATGGTGATTCATTCAATATGCTCGTCGAACTTGCGGTAAATTTACCATATGCAATTTCTTTACCCAACACGCCTTCACCAGAGTCTCGTCTTTCGACGTCTTCCCCATATTCGTCACCTTCGTCTTCTGTTCCGTCTTCTCTTCCATCAATGGAAGAACCTTTACACTCGAGAGATACAACGATATCGTAATTATCGTTACCATTGATAATCGCGGCTAAATGGATATGACGACGATATAAAAGGTAAATAAAAGACAAAAGTTCCTCTCAAAAACCTAGCAAATTATTACACTTTTTAGAAATTGTTACAGTTATATCAAAGCAATCATTATATCAGTCATTATCGTCATGTTGATCTCATTGCTACTATTAAAGGATCTTCTTTCTCTAAGAGTTGAAAAAATTAGGCATTTTAGGAATGTTTTAAAGGAAAACATTGGACCATAATAGCGAATGAAAGAAGAAATCTAATAATATAGACGCAAACATTAAGAAAAGGTTTACATATATTTTTATATGCGAAATATATATTAAATATATATAATATGATTGAAAACAAGACCGTTTATGTTAAATACATTACTTTATTGAAATATATATCTTTTATGCGTAAAAAAATTCAAAAATTTTGAAACAAAATTTGCATATTTAATATATATTTCTTAATATTTGTGTTTATATTGAATTTCCTCTCGCCATTATGCTCCAATAAATATGTTTGTGAATGTTCTAAGATCCTTTCATTTTGGAATTCGTCACAGATTATTATAGGTTGAACCTACAGACTTCTATCTATCGCAGTCGATATTGCCGATTTATATAATATATTTAAAGGCGGTCCCAAGATATTATTTCATTTATGCGTTTTTGTTTTACGACAAGTTTTTCAAGTCTTTTGATTGGCTACAAAATAGAGAGATCCAGAGACCTCTCTTGCACACATTTGTCATACGCAAGGTTGGGATTAAACATACGTTATTAAATATGATTTTTATACGTATAATATTATATATTTATATGTATTATACGTACGTTTTATACATATACATATAAGAAACTACTCACAACTCTAAATTGTCATATAACAAAAACAATAAAATAACATCCTTATTCTGTAATTCTTAACGCAAGTTTCGTAAAGCGACTAGGGATGGGACTTCATTTTGATCATATGAAAAATGTATGCAGGATAGAAAGATAGATTGAATCTATAGCCAATCAAGGCTTTAAAAATTTGTCATACGACACGCGCGAATGAAATCCCACCCTTAGTCTGCTTGCCAAATAATTAAACATGATTGGTTGGACTACAAGTTGGACAACAAAAAACTAGAGATCCATAGATGATGTATGCACACTGTTTTGTAAAGGAGGATAGTCTATATTTCTTTCTCGCTTGGAGAAATTTGATGACATTCTTGTGATCAGTGTCTGAAAGGATCTCTAGTAAAAATCAGTCATGCTGATTCGTTCGGTAAGCATGCCTAGTCGCTTTGCCGTCTCGAACCCAATGATAATGAAAATTACAGAATAAGCTTGCTGGGCGGCTCCTTTAAATTGACGTATAATTCTCACATGTATAAATCACACGACCAATATCATAGAGACAAAATCAGTATCAATTCGCAACATTATCAACATGATATATTCGCAGACAGAACGCATACATAAGCATACATAAATTAAACAAGGACAATTCAGAATCAGGTTCAGTTCTATTACATGAAAGTCGACAGTCTGTAATAGAGGTGCGTTCCATTTTTACGCTCACACGCTATAAGCATTGTAAGAAAATATAGAGGAAATAAACATAACAGAGAAGCTATCAGAAGTTGCATTCGGAAACTTATTTTACCAAATGTTAAATAAGGATGACACCTTGGGAACATCCAGATAGGAATTCGAATACTCCTATAGAAGTCTATGATTGAACCAATAATAAAGAGAAGAAATCCAAAATGGACGTAAAAATTTAGAAATATTCATCGAAAATATATATCTTTTATATGTAAAAAATTTTAAAACTTTTGAAAGTTTTCTGTAAAAAAAATCCTTAAACACTTTATTTTTTCAGCACCTAGACTAACCCTTCCTTAATCTTCCCTTAATATTATGAAATAACATCAGTTGTCAAATAGTTAAGAATTTATCTGATAAGCAGAAACGTAATAATTTCTAATTTTTTGGGAAGAGAATTTTACAGCAGTAACGAATACAATGACATTTACATAATGTCTATGAAACTCGGTTGTATGTACCATTATTTTACATATAATTTTGGTATTCTATACTCATTTTACAGTTTTCATATTATCTTGATTATTCTGTTTCTGTTCACGTCGTTCTTTAATTTCATTATGTTTCAGAAACTTTTAAGCATTGAAAATGTTTTCTATTGCCTTTGCGAATCGCATTTATATTTAATAAACGCGAACGAAATATTTGTCAGGATAATGCATTTTCGCACAAATCGAGCTCTCGAAATCACTACTCGTCTCATCGTTTTAAGTTTATCGACAAAGTAAAACAATTAAATTGAAATAACAGGTGGATAAACCTCTTACATAGTGTAAATATAGAAGTAATACGTCTGAAAATACGCTCTCTTGTTCTATAGAAACAAAAGAAGAGCGTACGAGCCAAAGACTATTGTTATATTTTATTAGTGCTAACTATTATGTAAGTATAGTACTAATTAAATTGTGTTAATCGCGATAGATTCTTAGACAGTATAACGTAGCAATTTTGGTCTGTAAATGTCACGAGAGACGATTAGGCGACAAATCCGCTTAAAGACTATAAAAAACTGCGAGTATATTATACGCGTGAGATTCGTTACATGTGTGTACATGTGTATATTCATGTGCGAATTGCCATGTAAATTAAGATTTTCTGTTGCATTACAAGAGTTATTATGACCGTGAAGAGACCATAATGTGTAAGTAATAAACAGGTGTTCATGGACAAAGTTGTTAAATGTACAACTGAAGTTTATTTTAATACGATACAATCTTGTTATCATAGTGATAAATCAAATATTTCTGTTTCGATTCTCCTACACGTTTAAAATAGTGCTATTTTGTAATCGCTGATATTACACGCTAAAGCATATGGAAGGGGGGGGGGGGGGGGGATAAGTGGAAAATTTTGGGAAATATCGCATATGTGCCATAATTCGGGTACGCAGATTGTCTGTCTGTATTCTACACATAATAGTGTAACGTAAGTGTTTACGAAATGGCATTACTGCACATTAATTGATTTCATTACGACATTCAGTTTTAATTCAAAATACGAATTAAAATTCTATCGAGCTCTACTTGATATTGAACTGATAATTATGGTATTGTTATTCATTTTTATGTCTTAGCGAAAATTAATCTCCGAAAGGCCCTTGGGACCGTTCGTGAATAACAGTACAATATTCATTTACATATCATGGCTTACTGAAAATTTTTATAGTTATAACAAATTTTTTGATGAGGTCGAAGATTTCTTCTTAGCAAAAGTGTAGCGCTATAAACGATTACAAGGGCTTTTCGATTGTATTTATTTCTTAAATTTCAAGTAGAGACTTAGAAATACTACACTGCCAATCACGCAACGAGTGAAGTGTCTTAAACTCTCCATTTTTTAAATTGTTATTGAAGCACAATTCGAGTAGTGCCGAGTAGTATCATTTTATCCTTGTTTAATATTCGGTGCAAATAACAAAAATAAAATGATATATGGGAGCACTCGGTTTTCCGAATATAGATTATCCGAACATGATTATCTTTATATACTGAGCGTTTGCAGAATTTATCATATTGTAGGAGAGATCGACCTGACAAGCGTTCAACTTTATTGTACAAAACTTATCGATCTAAAATTGTGCCTTCCGTCGAGACGTCCTAAATCATAAGAAACGTCTTTTAATTCATAGTTACTACTATTAGGACTATTTGCTGTAAGCGATAGTGAAGTGAACACCTTATTGAATTCATGTCAATTCAAGTTCCGTAATAGCACGGTCGCGCGTTTTCTACACTCGTGTATGAGCCATCCAGGAGAAGAAGAGTATATACTCTCTAAATTTATTGAAATGGGGGGGGATTCTCACTCTAAAATATACAAATTTAACTAGTCTTAAAAAAGAGTGACTCAATTTTTAATTAAATCTTTAAAAATGAGATTCCACTTCTTACAGATGAGATTTATTTTAAAAGTTTTAGAGAGTATCCTTTCAATATGCAAAGAGTTCACGCAACTCCGATTCAAAAAGACTCTAGAAGATCATCTTGGGAACGCAGGATTTTTTTTGTTTCACCAAGTAAGTATCATTATGAAAATCTAAGGAAAGCGAGTCGATTGGTCCCGTTTTCTTCCGTCATCTCTTCAATTAACGTTAAGATATAATCTTCTAATAGATATTACAATCGCACGTTCTTTTCATTTTCAACATACTATAAAACATATGTGAAAAAAATATTCATAATTTAACTTTCAATATGTACCAAATATTTGTAATTCAGCATGAATCATAGATTAATATTTAAACGTAAAACGAGTATCTACGTTCTGCCGATAGGAAATGACTTGTGCATGAGTGTAGAAAACGCATCTTGTTGTAGAATTCGGGTTGATGTAAACTCGATAAGGAATTAGCTTCCATCAATTCGTACATTTTGGATAATTGATTGAGGTGAATTTGTTTCTCCAGCAGGAAGTAAGATTTTTCGCGTTTGATTTAATTTACGATTGCGGTTGAGAATTGAATTCTGAATGTGTATTTTTTTCTCTTTATGTTATGATAATGTTGGATGAAAGTAGCGATCGAAAATAACGCGATCGCAATATCTACGGCGAAAACTAATCTACGGAGGAGAATCTATTACTTGTATTAATTGAAGAGATTCTGAGATTCTGAGAAGAGAATCTCATACTAATTGAAGAGATTCAGAGAACAAACTGACTCGTTTTTCTGGAGCTAATTGATATCATCACATTTACATGAGGAAAAAGAATCACCCCGTTCCCGAGATGATCTACCATCATACAACGTTGCTTGTAATATTATTAAAATGTTCCATGCTATCTGGATTTATAAATCAAAGTTGCGCACTCTTCACACGAGGAATAACTTGTATTCCTATTCAGTTGCTGTCCTGGATGGCGAAAGGATTTTGGCACTTCGCGCGATGAGCTGCGACTTGTATCTTATGTTTCGAAACTTGCCGAGACGAGGTACCTTGTAGAACTGGATTTGTCTCCATCAAAACTATGTGAAAGTCAGGATTACTGGCTACGGAGCAAATGGCTTGTCCTTTTGTCGTACAGACACATCGCGATACATATCTTTATAGGCACGTTCAAGCATTATTATTAATTACGTGAACCTGTTCTACGACTATTTCCATGTGTCAAACAGGTTATATTTTTGGATAATAATTAAACATGTATGTAAAAAGTTACTACAATATATGTGTATGATCGGATTAAAATATGGATTTAAACACATTGTTCGATATAAAAAAAAACGAATTTGAACATTTAAACGTGTAATATTTAGTGT